GCCCTGATGACGGAGGCAGTATGACCTCAGAAACGTTGGTAAACATCGACCAGAATACACAGCGCAACAACCCAGAAGACAGAAATCTTCATACTCACCGCTGTGAAAACCTCAAATCTTACAAAGAATTCTCTGTAGTTCAAGGAAAACTACCTGATGTTAAGTTGCATCCTAACACAAGATGACAGCTGTGCAAGAGGCTGAGAATATCACAACTATTTCTTTTTGTTACAGCAACAACCTCTTAGCACCAGAATCTACACATACTTGAGCATAGCTAAACAAAATTGTGGCTGTCATATAAAGCATGAAAGCATTATCTAAGACATTTTAAGAACAAAATAACTACCATGAATCTTTGGTGTTCATCAGAAGCAAAAAATATATTATTCACTGAAATATGACAGTCATACCAAAGTAACTGATTACAAAAATGGCACATCAGGTACTGAAGAAAGTGATGGGAAAGTGGCTCCAGTTGTCAGCGGGAGGCGCGATGTGACATGATATATGAAAATTTGGCTTCTGGGTATCCTCAGTGGCATGATGTCAATTCCAAATTTCATTAAAATACTTCACGTACATGAACTTGTGTACAGAATACACAATCTTTATTGTATGGGAACAGGGGATTTAAAATCCTGTGTTATGGGGCCAGTAGCTGGACTAAGCCTCAACACATAGTCAATAAAGGACAATTTACAGAACCATGTAAATGTTAGATCATTCAAGTTAAGTTTCAAACTCACTAATATTATGAACATGTATCTCATGACTCATAGAAATGCATCGACTTTTGTACTACTGCAGGGTTGGATTAATGTCCTTGTAGGTCACAGGCACTTCTGTTTTGTAGGTCCCTGGGTGGATGAATATTTATGAGCGCATTGATTTCTATGGGTAACCTAGTGATTGAAATAATCTTGAATAACTTTTTCAGACAGCAATTTCCTTTTGGTTAGAGATTTGTTAGAAGTTTAATCACACAAATAACAAACAAAAATTGTCAAAAAATTTTTTTCACAGACCCTAGGCAGTGCCTACTGTGCTTATCGGATAAAACAGCCCTGATTACTGCCTTCCTTTGAAACAAGAATTCAATGTTCTGATACAATTTGTCAGTCAACCAAATCCATAACACTGGGATTTTACTGTACCATTTCACATATCTAAAACTGTACAATGCCTGAGCAAAATAAAACGTGAGTTTGGCAGCTTTGCATCTCGTCTAGTCCAAAACCAACCCTGTTTGTAATAAGTCTCTGGACTGGACAGAAATAAAGACAACTGCTGTTGGTTCGGTTACCAAATTTTCTGGAAACAACACCAAAACGGGGAGGGGAAAAAGACAAGACAACAGGTACCCATTCATGTTACATATATGTAACATGTTGTGCAAGTATTTTAACAATAGACAGCATATTGTCCATCTCCACAGAACAAGAAGAAGTTGTACACTCCCAACCTACCACACAACACACGCAAGAAACCCATCAACTTCATATTTTAAAGATACATCACAGAACAAACCAGCATATATCCAACCTCCACAGAACAACAGAGTTCAATAAAAGAATATAACATATGTACATCTGAATATACACACATATATAGCATTGACATATGACAGCTATTCAAAATAAATATGTGATGAAGCTCAACCATTCTACAAGTTTAATTAAAATACAACAAATATCATGCTACCCTGACTATATCAACTAATATACCCAAACATTGTAGAACTGTAGTCGAGTAACAAGTCAGGGACCAGATGACGAACTATGAGTTCAAAACATATCACCTATTATTGCGGAATAAAAACGGGTACATTAACCTATTAAGTTTGTACAGATTCTTGCTGTTGTATGGAGATTGACGATATGATACGTTTGTTGTTAAAACGCTTCCATTCAGCTTTAGTTCAAGTACAGCGTATGATATTTTTCATGAATAATGAAAGATAGATGTAACAAAATCAAGGGGTAATCAAATTTTGTTCCAAACTTGGCATATCCTTTTGCTGTATATCCTCAATAAATTCAGTTCTTAACTAATCTTTTCAAAGTCCAATAGCTGATATACTTAATATATTTTGGAACATTCCCATTAGAACATTATGTGGCTGCACCAACTTTCCTGTTAAATAAGGCCACAGAATTTCATTTTTATCTTGCTAACACAGGAAAGACTTTGTTAATATAGCCACTGGGCATAGTTTCATTAATGAATGTGACAATTGCAAATTTCTACTTGAGAACCAATGGTGCACAGAAGTAATCAATCTGTATAGTTACCAACAGCACAATTCTAGAAATAAAATTCTGTAAACTTTAAGCATGCCAGCATCTCTTCCTACTACTACCAACTACAAAAATACAAGTAGTGGAATTTAAAGCCCTGTTCAGACTCAATGTTGTTGTTCCTTGGCTCTACAACCAAGTTGTGGGTCTTCACCGCCTCCATTCGGAGGTTTTCTTGATCTTTGAAGTGTGCATTTATGAGTAGTGAGTGACCAGCCCACTGACTCTGCACAATTTCTACTCAATTCTGATTTGACTGCCAGAGCCATCTAGCAGTGAATCTGGAGACTTGAGTGAGATATGGCTGATGAATTTTGCTTATGAAAAATCTCGTTTCATGCTTGTAAGGCTCTTTTACATGCTGTAAATCTACAACACGGGACCATTGGCTTTACTTCCTCTCCGAAAGGAGTTGTGTTACAGATTTTTATCACCCTTAAAAATCCATTGTCCTCGGTCGCACTTGAACACATCAGGCTCTATGACAGATGTATAAACTGGCTCTAATCCAGGCCTTTACAATTAAAACTATTAACATTATTTGCACGAGTGTGCCAATACTCACCAAATCATCATCCAATCGCACGCACAAAAGAAAAGCACAGTATTAGAATACAGCACGTTTAGTTTACATGACTATGTACACATGCATAGTAACAATAATATAAAGTTTCTGATCTTAAAACTTTGCATACCCTGTAGTGTATCAGAATATAAAATAAGTAAACAAACAACTATTAACACTATAAAAAAAAACAATATTGCCATACGCGCTTCAACCTCAAGAGGTCATCATCAGGATAACGCAACCACAGCTCGCCGCAGACCAGTTACGGCCACCGAACCATCGGATCAAAAGCTAAGTGGATAGTTCCACTTCTGTGAATAACAACATCTACTGCAGTGTCGCTTGAAATACTTTTGTGAAATACCCTATTCATTATTTATTTTCTAAATCAAGTTTAAAACATTTGATTAAATGAATTAATTTCCTTCATGCCACTGACGATGATCTCTTGAGGTTGTAACGCGTATGGCAATAGTGTCTTTTTTATAGTGTTAATAGTTGTTTGTTTACTTATTTTATATTCTAAAGTTTCTGAATTAGGATGATGTATTTGCATTCATGTCACATACCCCAAATTAATAGTTCCAAAACAAGTCTTAAATACTGGATTGATCCACATTTTAAATATTCTCATGTGCACTTAACATAAGTACAGAC